CGTGAAGAAATAATAAATTTTGCGAAATTCTCACTTTTGTCCATATTGAGACGTAATTTGCGCCATGTGGTGGCCCAATTAAAAATCACTTTTATACCTAAATCAAAATAAAATAAGCAGTTCCTTTTATATGACCATTCTTATCATTACATTTTTTTTTCGTTTTAAGCAAGAAAATAATTTTTAAACTTTCCCATTGGCGCCTATCTTGGCATTTGGTCATACGACAGCTGCTACCTGAAAATTCCTCATTTCCGTCATCTAAAAAGTTTAAAAATTGTTTTCTTTCTTAAAACAAAATTGTAATGGTAAGATTTGCCATATAAAAAGAACTGCTTCTTTGCTTTTGATTTAGGTATAAAGTTGAGTTTTAATTGGATCACCACATGATGCAAACCGCGTCTAAATATGGACAAAAATGACAATTTTGCCAAGTTTGTGATTTTTCTCAAGTTTGGAAGCTTGAGAGGTCTACAAATATTTTTTCCTCAAAATATGCCTTTTGTGGAGTATTTACTACTCAGATATTCATACAAAGTGCAGTATTGCAATAGAAAAAATGCAAACATACTATACATATTGGCTAAATTCTCGGAGGCGTCCGTGCCAGTAAAATTGCACTAATTTTACTGAGCTTCCAACACCTTACCCGAAAATATTTGCTTAACACGTAGACCAAATTTGGTACAGAAAGGAGGAGCAGTACTTTTAAAATAGATTTTTCCACAAACACAAAGAACATTTCGGGAAGTTCAAAAGGCAGCCATGCGACCAAAAATTTTTTTTCTGTCACAAATATTCTAGCAGTTCACTGTTTTCAATGCAGTAAATCAACACAGTTTTTTCTTCAAGTACATTTGAGATGGTCGCCAAAAAGGCTGGAAACGTTTGGTTTGGAATGCCCCAACTGCGTCGTGCACATGCCTCGAAAGTTATGTATTACACGTTCGTGCGCACGCATGGAGACAACTTTTGAGTTACTTTTTTTTCTTTCATAGTGGCCGTACGCCGGCCCCAAAAAGTGTCATTGCAGTTCGTAAGCTTGGTCACTCCACGGTGGCGGGGGTGAACCTTCGAGGGCACGAAGCTCCCCCGCTTCTTTTTCTACCACTGTGGGCTGACGTACGTTCGATCATATAAGAAGACAGTTCCTGCATGTCTTAGATGCAGCACCATCGGCCGTCTGTGTGCCCCCATCCTAACCCGGACCGCTGTGCTAAGTGTGGCACTCTCACTGCCGAAGGCCTTAACGACCACGACTGCCACCCCAAGCGCCTCCTCTGCCAAGGTTCTCACGAGACCGGGGCCAGAGATTGCACGTAACCACCCCCCTTTCTGCTGCCTTCTATTTTATTACAATATTCCCACGCATAGTCCGGATTGTTAGGAGGTAGTTTCATGTCCTTGAGATGCGTTTCTACAAAACCATATACTGTAGACCTCTCCTCCCTTAGCTGTTCTTTTGTCTCTTCCCACTTCAACCTATTCCTGCCCCCCTGCATGTTAATATACCCTACGTCTGAATTGGCTCCGCCCTAATGGCTACGTCGATTTCTGCCCCGGACTCTACGTGTCTTTGATATTGGTGCCACTATGGAATCGTATCTGTCTATACCACCAGTCAAAAAGTCTCCCTGGTTGTTTTTCTCGTTCGTTAGTAGCCATCCTGCACCTTGAAGGGTCCGCGTGGCCCCCTTCCCCCCCACACAAAAAAGCTACTGCACGTCCTGCAAGTCGCCAACCCACCTCATGACCTAGCCTCCCATCTAAGAGAATTCTGTCTCGTTGAAAAACATCCCACCTATGCACCTCTCTGTTTATTTCCACCACCACATCAATGCCTCTCTCTCGACTCAACCGCCATATCTCTTGATTCGCGTTGACAACCGCTCTTTGCAGGTTGCCGTCACGCACCGGTACATCCGGTATAGTGCGTATACCTGTACCTGAGTAGAAAGGGCGCGCATGTCATCGATTCCTTTCGCCAGTGTGGTCGCTAGTCCTGCCATATCTTCATATAAGACATTTAAGCCGCCTGCAATCATCACGAGGTTTCGTCCATCAGCTGTAGTTTTGAGTTTTGCGCTCGCTTGCCTCATGACTGCTTCCAGCTTGCGTCCTGGGAACGTACCCACTGCAACTCTCTTACCCTCTTTTTGATTGCTTCTGCGCATCAATTTCAATTCGAGTCCCCGGCGATTATCACGTGCTGTGACTTTTCAGCTGGAGCGTCCCGTACCTGGGGGTTACTTGCACCTGTGACGCCAGCTGCTTTGTCTCCTCCCAGTCCCATCACTACTTCGCTGAAGCTGGGTCTTCCGACCATTGAACCAGCTGAACCTGTTTTTTCCGCACTTGCTTGCACTTTCTTCTCCGCCGTTCTGGTTGCTGGTGCCCTACCATTCCCTCCGTCGGCCACTCTTTTGTTCACCTTCGCTAGTGCCTCCTCGGCGGACTTGAGCCTTTCTCCCATAGGCCTCGTTTTCTCTTGCTCTGTCGCCAATGCAGTCTCCAGCTCGGTGATTCTCTTCAGCAGTTCACTCTGGGCAACCATTATTTTTTCCATTTTTTCCTCAACCTCACATTGTCCACACTTGGCGTCAGCCTCCTCTCCATTCGCGTCTGCAGTTGGGTTCATTTTCAAACCCACCCCGCATTCTGAACACTTAACAGTCTTTTTAATCATGTCTTTTTTACATAAACTGTCCTTAAGAATTGTCCCACTCGATAATTACAAAACACGGCGTACGACGAACTCTGCCCCACGAAAGAAAAAAAAGAAAGTCTAAGCTCTACTACAAAAGTTTCCGTGTTCGGTGTATGTGCACTTCCCCCACGGGGTTGCAAGAGAAAAACAAACACACACACACGCACAAACTAGTAAATACCTGGTGGCTGACCCCCGAAAAAGCCGCACAATGTAATAAGTGCTACAAAGGTTTCAACTGCTGCCTTATTAATTATAAAAGCAAACTCAAAACATGCAAAACGGCTTATCTGCGCAATCGATCGGGAGCGCTCAAAAAACACGTCCATCCACCCTGCCAGTCCAAACTGAACTTGAGTGAACGCTCAAGTTCAGGACCCTTGAGCGAACGCGCAGCGTAGCGACAAACAGCACAACGTCTCAAAACAACTAACATTAAAACAAGTTCGTCATGTCTTTGTTTACGCGCGTAGCATGGAAGACCACAGCGTAAGTTACACATGTGATAGAACCCATTTACCTTAAAACAGCTGATATCCGGAGTAGTTGAAGTGGCGCGTTTTCTTTGCCGACGGGCTGCCCAAACGAACGCGTAATAAATAAAAAAAATTGGAGCACACCGGCTGCGTAAGAACACAACTCGTTTCAGCGACACTGTTAGCGAATAGCCCATACGTTTCGGCGTAATTTCTACGGCTTATTGCAAAACTAGCGTTTGCTAACGTCTATACGCGCAGTCATCTTGCATAAAACAAAGAAAAAAGACCGGAAGTACGTTTAAATCACGTGATTGCCTTCAGCCAATAGCAGCGTTGCTTTTTTCCCCATACATCTCCTGGGATGTGATACGGAAACACGTGGCCGGGCCACAGAACATCTAGTTAGGTACTATCCCTATGTGCTGAAGGATTGAATTGCACTCGCGCTTTGATTGCAGCCACCAATCAGCTAGCCTCCTCCTGGTTATTTCTACCCGTTTACAGTCTATTTCGCCTTCACTGCACCTAAACCCCAAGTCGAAGACGCCATTGTCTTCGACTATAGGGTGGAGCCCTTTACAGAACATTATCGAATGTTCCGCCGTTGCCTCCTCTTCTTCACGCGCACTACATAACGTACGTGTCTTTCTGCGCCTTCGTAATTGGCTCGGTACGTCTTGGTTCGCAATACTCCTCTTCTAGCCTCAAACAGCAGAGAACTACCCCGAGAATTGTCATAGATTTTTTTTCTTTTGCAATTTCCTGCTTGAAAGTTCGGTAGGTCTCCACTGATGATTCGTAGGCTTTCCAATTTTTCACTGTCCCTCTCCGTTTCCTTCACCTTCTTAACCGATGTTTCCTTTTGGCTTGGTATTCTGCCATTGTCTGAATACTTTCTTGCCGTTTTTCGAGCTCGCTTCGCTTTCTATATTTAGTATCAACATGCTTCATGTACAAGTAGCTGACAATTGTCCTAGCCCAACGCTTCTCTCCCATATGGCAGTGCCCTTTAGATCGGACGGCGGCTAACACCACCTAGCCGTAATACTTAGTGAACCAAAAACTAGATATATCTTTTTTCCCATTTAAATAGTGAAGTTAAGGACTGGTACTTTGCAGTGAAGGGTTTAATTTTCACTCGTGCCTTGACTTTAGCCCCCAATCAGATAACCTCCTTCTAGTTATTTCTACCCACTTAAAGTCTTTTTGACCTCCCTGCCCCTTAACCGCAGTGCTTTGAAGAACTCTGCGCCATCATCCTGAACTATAGGGTGAAGCCCTTTACAATTTTCGTTGACAACATGCATTGACAAATGGCGGCCTCACGCGGCCGTCCTAGTAACGACCGAGCACGCTATGCTCAAATCAGCCAATTGATGTCACTAGCAATTTTTGAGCTTATGGCATCATTTGCAGAGAGCTATTTTCAGCCGACTGATAATTTATTGCAAATGGCAGGCCGCGTGTTATGCAGTAATACTTGGCTCGCCTCTTCTCGGTAGCCTCAGCGACCAATTGGCAGCGTTATTTGAACATCGAGAAAAGTGGTGAAGGGCCCCTTTAAACATAGAGTTAACATACGGATTGTCTCTCAGAATCTTGTCAGGGACTGTCAGTGTCTACGTTCTACTACCCATGTTTCAACTTGGCATCCGATATGTCATTACGACTCATCCCTTTTTTGTTCCCTTGTAGGCTTTGTTGGATGAACAGAAGTACTTCAACCTTGTAACGTTCACTTCCAGTCATTATTAACACACACATAAAGTAGCATGAAATGACAGTGTGAAATAGAGTAAAGAAGAGAACATCATACAAGGGTCGATCGTAATTCTTTACTTTCATAACACCTACATTATAAAGGAAACATTGCATAAAATAGTGTTTTAAAGTACACAGCACTTCCAATACAAAACCAGCCAGCTGTACCAGGAAATCTTTTTCCCATAGTGGCAATTTCATATTACCAATACATCAAAAACATTGTCAGACAGTACACAATAATCAGAACCTTCCCATTAATTCCAAGAATTGCGTCGATATAGTACAATCTGCTGCTCAGAGCTTTGCACTGTCGAGGCCTGCGCTCCAAAATCAACGCCTCCTACAAGCTATCAACATCAGAAAATGTCTGCAAGTACCACTCGCAACAACTTAAACCACCTGCTCAACAGGACCACGCCTCGAGACGAAACCTTCCAGCTCCCTTGCCTCCCAGTGCTCGACAAGTACAAACTCCGTTTAAACCACATCACTTCACTGTAATCCAAAGGCATTCACAAAACTTCTAAAATAAACGTGGATAAATGGCATACAAATTTAGAAGCCCACCTTTGAGGGGTACAGCTGAAAACCTTAGATGTGCGAAACAGGTTTGGCAGGTTTTACATTATTGACTGTATACTGGGAGGCTGCTACGAGACACCTGGCTCAAGCTCCCAGTTGCAACAGCTTCAATAGGTCCGCAGCGTCAAATCAAGGGCACTTGAAGGTTGCACAGGTCAAGAAAAAAAATGAAAAGTTTGGTTTCTCTCTTCGCTCTCCAAGCAACACGGCAGCTACTTAAACTCGTGTCCTTTAAACCTCAACTAGTTTAGTCTACGTATCACAATGCTGTCATGCTCTGTAGTTTTACAGACTTTGTTTTCTTTTTTTGCTTCTGTAGGCAGCGTACCCTTTGGGACAGAAGTCTTGGTCCACTCTTGTTCAGCCCATGCTGTACCATCACTCAGACTGTTGCGGCAGCATCCGAAGTGGCTGAACATGGCTAAAACCAGACCACTTCAACAATAAAAATTAGAGGATAGGAGGGTCACTTGTGCGTTATATTCATACAGCCTTGCCACCAACCTTTCCTGAAACACAGAACACTTCATTTTATGGTGGCACACGAATACACGCACACGCTCGAGACCACAGTACGTCGCACAGTGCAACAACCCTCAGAGGGGACCGCACTTCGGCCAAGCAAGGGCAACGCCTATCCTGCCGCCATCGTAAGCATAACCACTCCTTCCTGCTGGCATGGCACCGACTCCTGCCGAAAGCTTTTAAGCACACCACCAGGTTTCACAAAAACTTTCACGCTTCAAAAATAGAGCGTGGCTCGAAAGTTGTGCCTAAGACTGCACCTCGGCGTCCCTGAAGTTACTGCGGCTCAAAAAGTGCAGACATTATTCATCACCATGGTCCAGGGCTACAGAAGCAAGAAAAAAAAATTCAAATAATAAAGGTATACGACAGATGGGGTGGGGGAGAGGGTGGCTACCAGACAATGGAAGGGGTTAAAAAGGACATCAATGAGGGGGAAACTGCTGGTTACAAAGGACACTAAAAGGTACAAACAAAAAATAAAAGGAGGTGTGAAATCAAGCAGCAAGGGGTAGCAGCAGCAGAATGTCTTCACATCTCCCTGCCACCTTCTTGCCTCAAGCGGTAAACTGGTAATGTCAAGGAGAGAGGGATAGGCTCCGTTTTTGTGGTGTAGTAGTCCTCACTTCCGACAATGGCAGGTAGGAGACAAGACCGCATCAACGGTCTTCTCCTTTGCAACAAAAAAGTCTGCAGCACAGTAGCCTAGTTGCCGTCAGTTTGATGTAGGGCGGAATACTTGTTCTCCAAGTCGAGCTGTAGGTGATGTTGCGAGGGGTCTTCCCGGTTTCGAAGGCCATGTTTGACAGATGTGAAGCTGTGGTCGGCATACTCCCGCCTGCAACAAATTGCGAGTTGATATGAAATGCGCGAGTGAAATGCAGTAAAATTTTTATTCATATAGGGATATGTACGATCTAGTTCTCAAGTGTGTTTACTTGCTTACAACATCAAGTGCTTTTTATCTACACAATATATTGTATTGTTCATAATGTATACTTTGTGCAATAGCACTAGGATCACTAATAACCTTAAAGGTGATCAATTTTTTAAAGGGGTCCTAAAGCACCTCTTGGGCATGTTGAAAAATGACATTCTGTGGATAGTAAACACTACTATGAATGGTTCAGCGAAATTTTGATCTCCCATGCAGCAAAGAGCTTCCATTTTCTCAAGCCCACTCTGTAGAAGCCTCCTTGGAACTCCTTTTGAGCATGGTCCGAAAATGCTGTAGATCGGCCCAAGAACATGCGTGTCAATAGTACAGCACACGACCTAGAATTCACAATAAATTCTCAAAGCCAACTAAAGATCGCTTTCACTTTTCTTGACAAATGACGCTACAGGCTCAAAATCATTACGCCTCAGGTCAAGTATGAGCCTGTGGCTGATTCGAGCATGGCTTGCTCGATCGTTACTGGGGCCCCTGCGAGAGACTGCGACTTGTCGATTGTGAACACAGCGCACGCCGATTTCACATTTGACTAGGGGAGGACCCTTACATAGGGTGCGACTTCCACCGAAACACAGAAGGCAAAGTTTCAAATTTAAGCTCCAAATACAGCGTGCACGAGAGTTCAAGCCAAACAGGTTGAGAACTGAAAACTGCGTGAAACGTGAGGTGTGCTAGAACGGAGTGCTTCGACCTGAGTTTGTTGGCCACTCCAAATTTACCCAAGTTTTAATACGAATGAAGTACCTCTAGGAGAAACAACTGTTTGCCGAACTCAACATTCCCATGCAGGTTAGACTGCAACTACAGCTGCACTCCCCTTACGGCATCGCAGCTAGCAGAGTCAGAAGTGTGTTATAATGCATTTTCTGCCAATATAAACTACACCAAACAACGCCACCGCATGCATACGTTGACGCCATTATGTTTATGAAAACAGTCAACAAGCGGACACCTTGCTTGCTGATTGCTCATAGGAATGGCATGGCTATCACTTTATATTGAGAGTATAACCACAGCGTATTTACATACACTCAAACCTTGATATAACAAATTTGGATATAACGACGTGAAGAATAGCTTTGTCACAAATACAGCGTCACAAGTAGTCATTTATAAGAAATTTTCACATAACTAAGTACAATGACACCTCGTTAATACGTACCTGCCGAGAAAAACAGCGTAACTACGCACTAAACATACCCTGCACTAACAGTTTTTTCGAAACGCGGTGCAGCTGCAGAGAGCCAAATCGTCTACTGGCTAGTTATATGCAGTGCTTGGCCTACTCGGTGCGAGCCGCGACTGCTTGCTGTAGAATACGCCCACTCCATTCCAGACTGTGTACAGATGCGGTGAGTAGCCTGCTGGGTTAACACGGCGATGACGAGCTTTCGGCAAACGATCAAGCAAGGGATTTCTGCAAGCAGTCCTGACAGCACACGGAGGTTGTGGTGTACACGTATCCCGAAGGAGTACGGCCACCAGCGTGGGTCCGGTCTTAGCGAGCCGCAGGGCACGCGTTAACCGTCGCCGTGGCGGGAAACACGATACTGCTCAAGTCGCAACACTTTATTGTGGCAACACCAACGCAGTACAGCCCGTTGCAAAAAGGCGCGGCGGGAAAGCAAATAGGCTTATCCACGCCACGGGCACAAAGTACTACACAGGGGTGCCACGAGCACGTCTCCGCGGTAAAGGTGATCCACGGAGACACCGGAACAAAGGGGCCCGGTTGCTCGAGCGAGGGCAAAGGCGCTCGCGTTGGCTTCGAAGGGAGACGGGTCGGCGTAGCTAGGTCACGCACTAGGACACCGTACTGCCCTTCGGCCGTGAGTACGCAGCGGGGCAACAAAAGGTGAGCGTTCGCATCGGGCGCGCGGCGCCGTCAGCGAAGTCCGACGAGCCCCGAGCGACGGGACTCGACGGACGGAAAAGAATGCGTGGCTCACCGTTTGAAGTCCCGGACTGTACTCCCCGCTCCCGACGCAGCGCGCGAAAACCTCTCGGGGGTCCCCGCGCGCGGCGCCACAGTCGACATCCGCTACCGGGTGAGGGAGTTAAACGTCACTCCGCCCTTCCCAGCGCGGCTGACGGCAAAGGAGGGTAGGCATGTCGGAACATGAGAAAAGAGGCGGCAAAGCCCGCGCAAAGGCAGCGGGCCAGCCTCAATTCCCACATCCCCCTCTCCTAAATTTGCCCTTTACCGGTCTGCAAAAGGCAGCCGGACGTCACCCATGCAGTTAAAATGACACTGCTATGAGCGACAGCTAACCTCAGTCCAGCCCTGCTACTGCTGCTTAAAAGAAATATGATTACAAAGGAGAAACAAAAACATAAATAACAAAATAAACACACGACACTATACAAATACGGCAGAAGGGAGCACAGAAACGTGGCACTGGTGTTCGTGGTGCTGAAGGGGGATAGCGTCCACTGCGCGGAGGGGCGGAAAAGGGCGTGACAGTGTCCGCTGGGTGCGATGCCCGAGTGCGAGGTCAGAGGTACCGGAAGGGGGGGGGGGGGGCTCACTGATGGCTTGTTCCTGCTCTTGATAAGCCGCGAGTCCGACGAAAGCCGCTTCGGTTGTTCGGAGGCCCCGCATTTCTGGCTCGATGAGGGAGCTGGACGTTGCGGGAAGCCGGGCCTCTCCGGTGGTCAGGGAGGCCGAACCAAAATTGGCTGCGAGGCGCCCTGCCGTTGGCCGGCAGCATATAGCTGCTTTCAGCTTGCCTCGAGCAGGAGCCATGGTGGAAAAGGCAGCACGGCTTCTTCGGCGACGGCCAAGAGCAGAGCACAGCCAGATGGTCTGACGTCAGTGGGTCAATGACCCCCCAGTACCTCCAGTGTCCGCATCGATGGGGGGGAAGCCGACGCACTCTTCGCGGGCTCGCACTGAAGCGTCACGCACTTACACACGCACGCACACACACCGCCGACAGCTGCGCGAGCGTAGGCGCAAAGCGTCCTTCGTCTCTCTCTCTCTCCCGGCAAGCACCGACACGCAAGGTCACACACAGCTCCCTTCGCGGTAGACGAAACGAACACGAAAAAAAAAGAGTAAAACAGAGCAAAACGACACTCAACATCTGGCGAAAAACATAAAACACAAATATCACTTAATATTAGACAAAAGAAACAAAATACACATGAACACTTCAAAAAAAAAAAAAAGAAACACTGGCAGCAGACAGAGCGAGGTCAACTTCTTTACGAGAAAAGGCCGTAAAGAAGCTAACGTATACTGAGGCTAGACAGTAAACTGAGGGCCTTCGGTTGCGGAGAAGTCCGCCGTCCGGCGCGAAATCACAAAGGTGACCGCTTCCTCAGATTATACCGGTGCGGGGTCCGAATGCGGTCCGCCGCTCCAGGTGTGCCCGTTGCTTGCGCGAAGTGCCGCAGGGCACTGGCGCAAGCTCGTCAGACCATGACAAAGGGCTTCAGGTCTGCGATGTGGGCACGGCTGAGTTTTCCCAAAGGGGATCTTTCAGCTAGTACGCGCCACGGACGCTCACTGACAATCGGTTCATAAGACCGGGCGGCTTTCCAACCCTTGGCTCAACCGTTTGTCAGACGTGGCAGGCACGGAATAGCGATAAAAGCCACGCTTCGTGCCGGGCCAGGTCACAACATTGCTCAGTTTGCAAAAACTTTCGAGCCACTCAGGTGACCGGCCATGGGTTCGTCGTGAGAGGATCGCAACAGTGCGGCTCTCAGACTTTTGGGCATAACCACCTTAAACGGGTCTATGGACTCGTCGTCAGTGGCTATATAGTTCAGCAGGAGCCCGTCATGGTTCAGCAAAAATGAATCCGCCGGGGACTCAGCGACACACGCTGTATCAGCCCCCTAATCGCGCCCGCCGCAGAACAAGCAGCGTAACGGCGCGCCTCTCAAGACGGTTTAACGGCGCCCGCCGCAAAGCAAGCAGCGTATACGGCGCTCCGTCCCTCCGAGACTACGAAACGGATCACTCTGCTGAGCCTTCAGTAGCTCTTCGCTGCCGAAAGCAATTCCCATTCTCCCAAATGGGGGAGTCTGGTATCGCGCCCACTCAGGACCGCAGCAACCGCCGCGTGAGTCGGCGTTACGGGTTCGCTCTCGGCCTCGTGGCCTTCGGAAAGCTCCCCCGCTCGGCCGCTTCGCGGTGCGCCGCTTACCTGGTTAGCAGCCAAGGTTTGTCCGCATGGGGACTCACCCTTCACGCCGAACGGCGGCGAAGCTGTTGTTTCGCCCCCGACGCTTGCATGTGCTAAGGCACCGCGAGCGGCCGTCGCACCGAAATCCAGGTTCTCGGCAGACAACAAGGGGCACGAGATAGCGCGTCAGCTACCACGTAGCGGTGTATTCACCACAAAAAGGGGTGACGACACAGGCGAGCGCCGAAGGGCGCCCGTCGATAGAGGCGGTGGCCTCTTGGTGCAACGCGGCATGCCACGAAGCAGACATAACGTTCGGGTAGGGCAAGAGGCCCATTCCGAAGCGACGCGCCATCTCCAAAGGGAGCGGCTAGGCGCCTCGTGTCGTCACCGCAATAGGGGGTGCCGACACGGACGGGCGTCGGAGGCGCTTGTGCGTAACGTTCGGTTAGGGCAAGAGGCTCATTCCGAAGCGACGCGCCATCTCCAAAGGGAGCGGCTTGGCGCCTCGTGTCGTCACCGCAATAGGGGGTGCCGACACACACGGGTGCAGAAGGGTTCCCGTCAATAGAGGCAATGGCCTCCGTGTGCAACGCGGCATCCGCTAAAAGGGACAGCGGACAAAAGTCCCGCGAAGCAGCCATGTTGCGACGAGCCCGAATCGCGCAGGCGAACTGACTCGCTAAGAGCAGTCAAAAGCTAGAGCTTTTGATACCGCGTTGGGCGCCAGTGTGGTGTACACGTATC